TGTGATCTTGTCCCGTCCCCTTTCTGGGCGGCTCCCACCCCCCCCCGGTCCCTTTCGCAGCATCCTGAGGTCGGAGAGGGAAACTCAGCTCAGCCGTCGGCCCCTGTGAGCTCTGCCCCGGGCCCTGAGCTGCACAGACCCGCTGCCCCGGGGATGGGCTGGGGAAGGGACATGGGGCCTTTCACCTCTAGGGGGCTGGTGCTAATCTGTGTCCTTTTCTCTAAGCACCAGACCCCACCCCCCAACCAGAGCCAGGGAGAGAACCCAGGAGTCCTGGCTCCCAGCCCCTCCTCTCCAATCACTAGACCCCACTCCCCTTCCAGAGCGGGGGTATATTACAAGGTAGCCGCCGGGGCATCAGGTTTACACAGAGTTTCACTGGCAGTAGCAGAAACAGGAAGTGAGCGCCGGCTCAGGGTAAATTTCCCCTTTCACAACTTTATCGGCTGTTCCTTTAACAACTCAGGATCTACATTTATGCCTCCCTCCCCCACTCATGGGGATCAGAAACCACAACTCCTCCAAGGCCCCCATTTCTGCAGTGACACTACCTGAGAAGGAGGTTGGCCAGGCCCCTCCACCCTCATGCTCCAGGGCAGGAACTGGGTCAGGAAGGAATCTCTGTCCCGCTCCATGGGAGAGGGTCACTCCTTTGGGTGCTGGGGGAGAGAGCCCTCCTCTGCTCTGAGCTGCTGCTCCAGGGAGGCTAGACGGGCCTGTTGGAAAAGGTCAGGGCAGCCTGGGCACCTCTTAATGCCTGTGAGATTGCCCCATTCCCAGCTGGTCCCTGGACTGGGCAGCTCCCATGTGGGGCTGGGAGGTGATCGGGGGTGGGGGGACCAGGCAGCTGCAGGAGGGGATGTGGTTTGCTGGGTGTTGCAGGGAGCTGGCTTTGCTCTGACTGTGGTAGATTTGGGCTGGAGATTGCAGAGAAATCATCTGATGGGGAAGAACAGGGCCAAGTGCATCACGGGCTTCCTGGGGCTGCAGCCCCTGGCGCAGTTCCTCATTCCGCTCGCACTCGGGCCTCAGGCTGGGTGGAGCTCAGCACTGGGGTGTTGGTGGCAGCGCTGAGGGGCCCCCACTGCCCCATCATGGCGTCTGCTCTCACCGTCCTCCTCCTCGGTGAGTATCGGAGAGAGCCAGGGAGTGTGCCCATGGGGGTGGGGGGGATCTGAGACCAGGGCATGTGTCCATGGGGGGGGATCTGAGACCAGGGTGTGTGCCCATGGGGGGGATCGGAGACCAGGGCGTGTGCCCATGGGGGGGAGGGGATCTGAGACCAGGGTGTGTGCGTCCATGGGGGGATCTGAGACCAGGGTGTGTGTGTCCATGGGGGGATCTGAGACCAGGGTCCAGTCACTCTGGGATTTGGTCTCTAACAAGTTGTCTCCTCTCCAGGCTGCTGGCTGGCCGGGTGGAGCGGGGTGTCAGGACGTGAGTATCTGTGGGGAATGGGGCAGTTGGGGGAATTTCTGCATTAAGGACGAGGGACGTGGGTGGGGGTGCGGGGCGCCAATCCCCCAGAGGTATGAACCAGTCAGACACGTTCTCCCCAGAGGTGGGGACTGAGACCTCGCTCTAATCATTACTGGGATGGGAACCTGTTGAAACAACTAGGGGATTTTGTAAACATGTTTTTTGGAGGGAGCCTGTCCTGTGAGCTGCTTGCTCAAATGACCCAATTTTAGGCCAGGAACCCCATGTTACGGAGTGTGGGGGAGTCAGGGCCCTGCACCCGCCACTTCTTATGATTCACCGTGACTCTCAGCGACAGTAAAACAGAGGTTTATTAGATGCCAGGAACACAGTCTAAAGCAGAGTTTGTAGGTACAGAAAACAGGACCCCTCAGTCGGGTCCATCTTGGGGGGGTGGGGTCTGGGCCTCCCCTCCCCCAGCCAGCTCCAAACTGAAATTCCCTCCAGCAGTCTCATCCAGCCACACTCCCTGGCCCCTCCTCCAGCCTTTGTCCAGTTTCCCCAGGCAGAAGGTGTCACCTGGCTCCAACCCACTCCTGGGCTCATGTTACTGCTGGCCGTCAAGTATCATCCCTCAGTGAAGTCACCCCCTATTTCCCATCACCATCTAGTATTGGTGCAGTACCCCAGGGAAACGGAGGCACGCCCCATGTTAGCAGAAGGCAGTAAACTAATAAAACTCCCACGCAACATTCCCAGGTCAATACTCCCCACTCCCTACTGCGTCACATCTCTTCCCCCTTCGAGAGTGAACTGAGCGTGGTCACTCTGACCAGTGACCTGGGAAAGTTCAGGCCCCCGTCTCTGGGACAACACATCAGCTTTGGCTTTCCCCCTCACATGGACCACCTCCATATCGTAATCCTGCAGGAGCAGGCTCCACCTCAGTGGCTTGGCAGTGGCTCCTTTCATCTGGTGTAGCGAGATCAGGGGAGAGTGGTCGGTTTACACAGTGAAGTATCAGAGGGGTAGCTGTGTTAGTCTGAATCTGTAAAAAGCAACAGAGGGTCCTGTGGCACCTTTGAGACTAACAGAAGTACTGGGAGCATAAGCTTTCGTGGGTAAGAACCTCACTTCTTCAGATGCAAGAGTGTCAGTGAAGTGTCACCCAAATAGATATGGCTCTAGTTTCTTGAGGGCCCACACCATGGCCAGGCATTCCTTCTCTATGGTGGCGTAGTTTTGCTCCCGGGGTAGCAACTTCTTGCTCAGGTACACGATGGGGTGTCTCTCCCCCTTTTCATCCTCCTGCATTAACACCGCCCCCAGTCCTGTGTCTGAGGCGTCGGTGAACACCATAAAGGGCTTGTCAAAGTCTGGGTTTGCCAGAACTGGGCCACCGGCCTCCTTCAGCGCCCGGAGAGCCTCCTGGCACTCCTCGGTCCAGACCACCTTGTCTGGCTTCCCCTTCTTGCACAGCTCAGTGATGGGGGCGGCTATGGCGCTAAAGTGGGGCACGAACCTCCGATAGTACCCTGCCATCCGAATAAAGGCTTGGACCTGCTTTTTGGTTTGAGGAGTGGGCCAGTCTCTGATCACCTCCACTTTGGCTGGTTCCGGCTTTAGGCAGCCGCTTCCCACCCGGTGGCCTAGGTAGGATACCTCAGCCATCCCCACCTTGCACTTCTCCGGTTTTACGGTCAGCCCAGCCTTCTGGAGTCGGTCCAGCACTTGTCTAACCTGGGATATGTGGTCCTCCCAGGTCTGGCTAAAGACACAGATGTCATCGATATACGCCACGGCAAAACTCTCCATCCCCCTCAGTAGCTGATCCACCGGAAGGTGGCCGGCGCTCCCTTGAGGCCGAAGGGCAGGGCCAGGAACTCATAGAGCCCCAGAGGGGTGATAAAGGCAGATTTCAGTCTGGCATCTGCCTCCAGTGGCACTTGCCAGTAGCCCTTTGTAAGAGCCATGGCGGTAAGGTACCAAGCTCCCCGCAACTTGTCTAGGAGCTCGTCAGGCCTGGGCATGGGGTAGGCATCAGCTACAGTGATGGCATTGAGCTTCCGATAGTCCATACAGAACCGGATCGACCCGTCCTTTTTGGGGACCAGCACCACAGGCAAGGTCCAAGGGCTGGAAGACGGCTGAATCACCCCCAAAGCCAGCATGTCACTGACCTCTCTTTCCAAGTCCTGAGCAGTTTTCCCTGTGACTTGGAAGGGGGAGCGATCCTGTCTCCACCCGGTGGACAGCCAGATTAGTTTCAGAGTAGCAGCCGTGTTAGTCTGTATCCGCAAAAAGAACATGTACATTGGCCAAACAGGACAGTCTCTACGCAAAAGAATAAATGGACACAAATCAGACATCAGGAATCATAACATTAAAAAACCAGTAGGAGAACACTTCAACCTCTCTGGCCACTCAGTAACAGACTTAAAGGTGGCAATTTTGCAACAGAAAAGCTTCAAAAACAGACTCCAACGAGAAACTGCTGAACTTGAATTAATATGCAAATTAGACACCATCAATTTAGGCTTGAATAGAGACTGGGAATGGCTGAGCCATTACACACATTGAATCTATTTCCCCATGTTAAGTATCCTCACAGCTTCTTGTCAAACTGTCTGAAATGGGCTATCCTGACTATCACTACAAAAGTTTTTTCTCTTAATTAATTAACCTCTTAGAGTTGGTAGGACAACTCCCACCTTTTCATGTTCTCTGTATGTGTATATATATCTCCTTACTATATGCTCCATTCTATGCATCCGATGAAGTGGGCTGTAGCCCACGAAAGCTTATGCTCAAATAAATTTGTTAGTCTCTAAGGTGCCACAAGTACTCCTGTTCTTTTTAGTCAGATTAGTGAGTCCAGGCTTGTTGGAAAACAGCTGTCGGTACAAATACAGCACCCCTCTGATCTCAGCTTGCTGGGCAGGGGTCAGCCGATCAGAGAGGGGAATTGTTTCCAGGGAGGAGCCAGCTCCTGTGTCAGAGAATAGATCTACTAAAGGGTCATCTCCCTGCTCCTCCCAATGTCCACACACAGCTAACACTGCATTCCCCCTTTCATAATATGGCTTCATCATATTCACATGGTAAATCTGGTGACGGTAAATCTGTTAGACAGTTCCGCCACATAGTTTACCTCATTTAGTTGCTTGACAACCTTGAAATGGCCTTCCCAGGTGGCTTGTAGTTTGTTTTTTCTTACGGGGATGAGAACCATCACCTGGTCTCCGGTGGCGTAGGCACAGGCCCGCACCGTGCGGTCATACCAGACCTTCTGTTTCCTCTGAGCTCTGGCCAGATTCTCCTTGGCCAAGCCCATGAGCTCAGCAAGTCTTTCTTGGAAGGTTAAGACATACTCCACCGGGCCTGCACCCCAGGGACAGGCGGGGGGTAAAACGCTGGAGCGACAGATGGGCAGAGGATTGAATCAGACAGATGCAGTTTGTGTCACCCCCACTTACTGCCTGTTTGTTTGTGAATCCAGAGGGGTCCTACCCCAACCCTCCATCTCCGTCAGCCCCGGTGGGGTGATCCCCGTGGGGGGAAACGTCACCATCTGGTGTTGGCATCAGCATCTGGGCCTCACGTTCCTCCTCTATAAGGATGAAGATAGGAACTATCTGGCTCACACAGACACTGCTGGCTCTGAGGCTGAATTTCCCATCACCAGCGCCAGACGGGAACACGGTGGCAACTACACCTGTCGTTATCATGACAAATCAGGAATCTACTCGGAGGCCAGCGACCCTGTGCAGATCATTGTAGCAGGTGAGGAGCCCAGCCCAGTACCTTGGCTCCCAGCCCCACACCCAGCCAGATGCCCGGGGGATCTCCCTAAGCCCGGGTGCACGGCAGATGGGACGTCCAGCCAGTGAAGGTTGAGTTGGGGGGGGAGATCTCAGCCCCCCAAAGATGGGTATGGGGAGAAAGGAAATCTTGGGCTGGTGCCTTGGTGCCCTGGATCCCAGGGGAGACAGTGACCCTGTCTCTGCCCCGTCACTGACGCTCCATGCTGGGGACGGGGCGCAGTAGCTGTGCCAGGGTCTTTCTCATGCCCCATCTCCCTCCCACTGCAGAGCTCAGATCCCCCAAACCCTCCATCTCCCTGAGTCTCAGTCAGGGGGGAGCCCTGGGGGAAGCCATGACTGTGTGGTATCGGGGTCAATGCTGGGGTCTGGAGTCTGTTCTGTACAAGGCTGGGGCCAAATTTCCCATCCCCAAAGTGACCAGGGCAGACAGAGGCAGCTACACCTGCTATTATCCCCCGACTCGGATCCCCACACCTGGTCGGAGCCCAGCGACCCCATGGAGCTGGTGGTAGCAGGTGAGGGGCCCAGCTCAGCGTCTCCGCTCCCAACCCCAGGCCCAGTAGAGGGGACGCCCGGCCGGGGAGCAGAGATGGAGTCAGTGGGGGGTTCCCCAACCAGGGGGGAGAAGCAGCTGCTGGAGATTCAGGGCTGAGAAAGTGGGGATCCCTGCCCCCAGGGGGAGCTGCAGAGTAGAGGGGCCTTTCCCAGGCAACACATCAGTTAGGGGTGATGGACGGAGCTGAAGGTTATAAACCTCAGTGTATAGTAGAGACTTGCACAGTCCCCTACAAGTCAGTGGTGGTGCTGTGCACAGAACCCAGGAGTCCTGGCCCCCATCCTCCCTGTTCTCCCCACTAGACTCCACTCCTCTCCCAGAGCCAGGGACACAACACGGGAGTCCTGTCCCCCAGCGAGCCCCTTCACCACTCTAACCACTAGCCCCCACTCCCCTCCCAGAGCCAGGGATAGGACCCAGGTGTCCTGGCTCCCAGCCCTCCCAGCAGAGAAGCCAGGGCGTGACTGGACCCTGGAGACTGGACTGGCCTGTCACCCACTAGGGAGCAGAGCTCTGGGCCCCCAGGGGCTGGGGTTGCTCCGTGTCTCATGCTGTTAGCCCAGAGGAAACTCTGGCCCCTGTGGAAAGGCATCCAGGAGCCCGTCCCCAGGGCCGCCGGTTCTGACCCACCACTGAGGCCGTGTGGTGAGGACGGGCCCCAGGAGTGAGTGATGGGGCCTGCGTCTCACGGCCTGTCTGCTTCCCACTGCAGAGCCCAGCTACCCCAAACCCAACATCACCCTGAGCCCCAGTGGGGCGGTCTCCCTGCGGGGAGCCATAATTGTCCAGTGTCGGGGCCAGCGCCGGGGCATGCGGTTTGTGCTGAACAAAGAGCGACGCCATTTCCCATTTGTGGATTCGAAAGGGTTTGAGGCTGTGTTTACCAGCAGCAACGTGCGCCGGGAGGACGGCGGGAGCTACAGCTGCTTCTATCACAGCAGATCGGAGCCGTTCACCGTGTCATACCCCAGCGACCCCGTGGAGCTGGTGGTGAGAGGTGAGGGGCCCGGCTCGGCGTCCCCGTTCCCAGCCCCCCCCCCCAGCCAGACCCTCACGGGGGCTCGGTGCCAATGGGATGCTCAGAGAAAGGCTCTGCCCTGAGCCCCGACCCCACAGAGGTGATGCCTGGCTGGGGAGCAGGGAAGGAGTCACTGGGGGGTTCCCCAGCCAGGAGAGAGCAGCAGCCCCTGGAGACTCGGGGCAGGGAGGCGACTTTAACGCTGCCCCTTGTGCATAGGAACCGTGAGTCGCTATTTAATCCTGTGATCCCATCGCCTCTGTTTGCCAGGCTCTGCCCCGGCCGGGGCTGAATGAGGCAGGGGCTGCAGGGGAAGCAGTGGCTCGGTGGACATGGCGCTGGGCTGGGACCCAGGAGATCTGGCCCAGCTCCTGGCACAGCCACAGGCTCTGTGTGATGGGAGCACGTCGCAGTTTCCAAAAGTGTCCTCTTTTGGGGGGGGGGCTCAATCTTGGGGGATCTCAGGCTGAGCACCCACAAAATGAGATGCCCACAGATAGTGGAGACCTCTGCAAATGCTGGCCTCAATAGCACTAGATCCCTTTGTGACAGGGTGGATCACAGAAACCCCCTTGGGACTGCCACCTGGTGTTCTGAGACTACCCCTGAGCCCGCTTTCCCTGCCAGCTTGGGGGTTCAGTGCCTTGCCTGGTTTGAGACAGACCCGCTAGCCTGCTTCAAATGAGTCTGAACCATGTCCCCCCAAAAGCTGCAGGCTTAACTGAAAACGGCTTAAGAAGTGTTCTTGTCTCCAACACCCAGATGCCCAGCTCCCAATGGGGTCCAAACCCCAAATAAATCCATTTTACCCTGTATAAAGTTTATACAGGGTAAACTCATAAATTGTTCGCCCTCTATAACACTGATAGAGAGATATGCACAGCTGTTTGCCCCCCCCCCCAGTATTAATACATACTCTGGGTTAATTAATAAGTAAAAAGTGATTTTATTAGACACAAAAAGTAGGATTTAAGTGGTTCCAAGTAATAGCAGACAGAACAAAGTGAATTACCAAACAAAATAAAACAAAACACGCAAGTCTATACCTATTTCAGTAATAAAATTGAATACAGATAAAACCTCACCCTCAGATGTTTCAATAACCTTCTTTCACAGACTGGACACCTTCCTAGTCTGGGCAAAATCCTTTCCCCTAATACAGCCCTTGTTCCAGCTCAGGTGGTAGCTAGGGGATTTCTCATGATAGCCAACCCCTTTGTTCTGTTCCACCCACTTATATATCTTTTGCACAAGGCGGGAATCCTTTGTCCCTCTCTGGGTTCCCACCCCGTCCTTCTCAATGCAAAAGCACCAGGTTAAAGATGGATTCCAATGCAGGTGACATGATCACATGTCACTGCAAGACTTCATTACCCACTTGCCAGTACACACTATATAGCAGGTCAAACTCAAATGACCACGAGGGCCACATGAGGACTAGTGCATTGAACCAAGGGCTGCATCACTGACACGCCCCCTCGCTGCCTCTGGCCCCACCCCCACTCCACCCCTTCCATTAGACCCCGCCCCCGCCCCACCTCTTCCCCACCCCATTCCAACCCCTTCCCCGAAGTCCCCACCCCAATGCTGCCCCCAGGGGGTGCAGAAAGGGTGCAGGGTGCCGCAGGGGGCTCAGGTCAGGGAGTTGGTGGGTGGGGTGCAAGAGGGTGAGGGGTGCGGCAGGTGGCTCAGGGCAGGGAGTGCAGGAGGGGTGCAGGATGTGGCAGGGGGCTCAGGGCAGGGGGTTGGGGTGCAGGAGGGGTGC